AAAAAAAAGTCTGCTAAGTTTCTGACGCGTGAAGTAAATAAAATCAAACCAAACATTTTGATTTGACACGCAGTTATCAAAAGGTTCGCCATCCCCGATCTACCATATGTTGAGATGTAAAAGAAAATTATTGATAATTATATTATATGCACCTAATAAWAATATAATAACCTCAATTATGTATGCAATGCACCATAGAGTAAAATGGGCATTGTAAATTAAGTACATCTGTTGTACTATTAAACTACTATTTTTTACTATGTGTGAATTCGGTATATGACTAGGACAGGTAAAGGTACAATATAACTTAAAAAATAAATATGTTCATAATTATTTTTCTTCATAAAGAAACTAAAGACACGTGGGTAGCTAATGAAACYTTTCAATACTAATAATAACAAAACTATTAACCTGGTAATGCAAGTTTCTCTCGAAGTCTAGTTTGAGGCAATACCAATATGAGCAAATATAGCTGTAAAATAAAATAAATAAATAAATAATGATGAACAAAATTTAAATCAGTTCATATATTTAATATATTACCATAGTAAAAATGACAGAACTAATCAACCAAAAAACAATACCACCATGACCAAATAAATTTAAATCCTTCGAATTGATTCTAAAAATGGAGTCTGGCATAAAAATTTCCAGTGCTCCTTGACTAACAGAATAAGCTAATGAAATAAATGATGTTGTAATTAGTACATATCTTATACTGCTTCTACTTTCCATATGACCTGTAATGAACATAAAATTGGTAACTAAATCTCAGTTGTTTAACAAATGACTAACTCATTTTTGTTTTATTTTAATAATTTATTAATTATAATATAAATAGTGGTAGTTCTACTTAAATTATTCAAAACTCCTGAAAATTAAGAATATTTATTGTTTTACTAACCAAAAGCTAAGGCAAATACTACCACACTCATTTCAGTAGCCAAAAAGAAACATTTGACTAAAATCCAAAGAGTAATATTGATGGAATCAGCAGCCAAATTACTAAAATTGAGTGTCATTGATATTAGGCATCTTAGTATACTTGTAAATACATTGAATAAAACCTAAATATATTGTTAAATAACTATTAGTAAAACTGAAAATTTTGTAAAAAATATGATATCATCATTTAAATAAACAAATGTTTTATAAGAATAATAGTACAAATTGTTTACCAAACAGTAGAATGTAAAAAAAATAGGACTATTAGCAGCTCGTAGTTTTAATCTGGCACGACTAAACTTGGTCACTAAGTACATCATGAATATTAGGTTAGGAATAAGTATTACTACATCCCATACACGAACGCTATAAAATAACACAATAAACACATAAATTTACATATTATTCTAATTCACATGGTAAATTATTATCACTTAAAATATTTGAATAGTAATTATAATTAGTTAGCTAATTAAACTACATTAATATAAATTACCTAATAAAAGTTAATATTGCATTTTTTACTTGGTTGTATAAGCAAATGGAGAACAAAAGAGCTAAATTTGGAAAATGGATTTAAAAGTATTTTGTCAGAAAAAAATTACCCTTACTCATTTAGGSAAGACACTACAGTTTACACACTACTAAATACTCGTAAATTTCAGGTCTATCATATTATATAGAAGATAATTACAACAAATATTAATCTTTGAAACTTATTTGAACAATCTAGTTAACATATCTAACTATATAAGCCAAATAGATACTTATACAATTATTATTTAATAACTAATTATGTCTTACTTGATACTTGGTATTTCCATGTAAAGAACCAGCTTACATACATGTTCTTCGTCTATTGAAGTACTGTTGCTCATTGAAGTAGTTGACAATCTATTTGTTTCTAAACTCTGAGGATCTCTCATAACTAGTCAATTTTATTGTCAGATTAATTATTAATTCAGCTGAAACATTCAGTTTTAATACAATAGGTTAATAGATTTATAAACAACTATGGTATTACTTGATATCTATTACCTGGTTTAACAAAAAATTATCTTTTACAACATGAAATATGTATTTGATATTAAATAGCTTAATTTGAATGTATTAACAATTAATAAGCTATTGTATCAAATTTGAATTGTGAATTAATTACAGTCTAATGATAATACTTGCTTAATTTCCTCCCATAATTAAATAATTTTAACAGTAATTGTTTCATTAAGCACACACGTAACATACCAATATAGGATACTGACATAATGTTCTGCATTCACTACATATCGTTCACATCTCTTACATTTGTCATTCACAATATTGAATTTTATGTATTAGTATTATTATACAATATTATTTCGCAAGAGAGAAAAAATATTATCTTTAAATGATAAGCCGATCAATTTTTTGTTGTTTTAAAGTTGATAAAAAAATATCATTTTATACAGTGTAACCAAAATAAAATAATTCTCAATATTTAGAATGGTATGAGGAACCTTTAATTTGGTGTCCGGCACTCCGCCACTCCGGCGCTAATATTGACGGCCTGCCCAATTATACATACCATAGAATTCTATGTACATACCAATACGAACCATTATGTTACCACAGTTTATCATATTATCTTGGTTCGTGGGGCGTAGCCTAGAATGTTAATTCTACCTACTTCAAGTATTGGTATTTGGTATTCGGTAAACAATAAACAACATTACGAATTTCGGTTTCAGAATTTAAATTAACTGCTATCTTTGAGACGACTGTCCAGTGACCAGTACTCCAGTCACCACTTCACCAGTGAGTGTTCATTTTCATTGTGATTGCATTGCAGACATTACAGTCTCTTCTATTCATATTTAATATGATATAGTAATATATTATATTATTTAGTATTCACTATTGTTATTTGTTTAATATGAGTACTGATTGCTATTATCTTGCGGTTAAATTAAATGTTTGTAAGACGCAACTCATAGTGTACTTGTGATTTTTGCTAGATTTTAAATACTACTTAAATTCTAATTTAATAATATAATTAATGATCGTCTCATTCTACGATATGATTGATTAACCTTGCGATTCTTTTTTTAATTGCTTGAACTTTGTCATATCATTATCTTAAGTCTTATATTTCAAGTGAGAACAACAAAAAAATTTGAAACGAGTGACAAATTACTTTTTTTTATTTAAGTATCTTGGTCAAGACAATTTAGAAATGTCAGCAAGTAGCACTTCATCTTGGTCAGACAAAAGTGAACAAAATGTTTTCAAGTGTAGCGCTAAAGCGGCAACTAAACATCCATTTTCTATACTTGTAAGACTTGTATTAAATTATAGTATTTTGAAAAATTCCTATAAAATAATGATTCAAACAATTTTTTTAATCAGATGATTGGAAATTCCAACTGGAGTACTCAATTGACAGAAGCATTGGTTGAATATCATGAAAACAACCATATTTCTAAAATTCAAGTGCACAAGGCACAAACTGTAAAATCTGCACTTTCTACACTGTCCAATGTTTATGCAGATCTTGTGATTATTTTATTGGACATAAGTAAGAATGATTGTTTAGTTGATGTAAGTAAAAATCTTTTTTATTTCCCAATAAGTAATRACCATAACAACAATAATAATATGACTAATTTATATTTACTGATTATTATTATAGGTAGAAGTTAATTTATTAGCCCTAGAACCAGCATTATTATGTGGCAGGACAATTTTAGTTAACCCAATAAATAGTATAAAACGTAAAGATATGGGGATTTCTTATGAAAATATTGACACTCTTAAAAGAAAATATAATTTACTTATTATACATGGAAATATAGAGGCAAGTAATTATTTTTAAACATGGGAATTTTTAAAGTATTGTGTATTTTATAATCTATTTGTTTCAGGATTACATAAGTAGAATGTTTTTGGCGAGACGAATCATGGTTTATTCCTACAAAATCAATAAAAACGGTTTACCAAACATTTTAGAATTTAATTCTATTGATATGGAGCCTAGTAGACTAGCTTTTTAGTATAATTTATAAGTACATTACCAATAAAATACCTATGTAAATATAATATATAAAGATTTTATTAATATATTTTTTCTACATTTAATCTCAATTAAATAATTAGCAAGCAACAAAATAATAAAAAACAAYTTAAGTTCTTGCTTCATTATATTGGAGAACTGCTGAATCCTCTATCTGCGTAATGTTTGGGTAGAGTGCGGTCTGAAACTCTTGGAAAATCTGGATCTCCTGGCACACACTGAGAACGAGATTCATGTATTCTCCATCCTGATTTTCTCTCCCAAGTCTTCACATAAAAATATAAATGTTTATTTGATCTTAGATTTTAATGGTAACAGTTATAAATTGAGGGGTGGGTGTAAGAAGGCCATTTCAACAGAAACATTAGCATGATTGTTTTTTTTTTTTTGATTCAGCAAACTATATTATAGGTAATATGTGTTAAAAATTTTAAGTAACTTACAAATAGAGCACAGGAGAAGTGTTAATATAATTATTAATCGTGTATTATGCCTTTCTTATAT